GGGGGTTACCATTTCTCCTTTTAATGAGTAAGTACCGCTTTGCTGAAGGCAGATTCAGTTTTGTATACCTTCAGCAAACGACTCCGCGTGCCAGACTGCTACCACTGATCCTGGTCAACTCTTCAGATTTTTAGCGCTGGGTCTTTTGATGAACCATTGGCTCACTTGGACCTTAATGATTTTGTGAGGTCATCTGTTTTAGTCGGAAGAGGAGGCTGGGAACCAGCCTTGAAGAAGGTACAGGACTAGTGGAAGAGGGAGGAGAAGTTGGGGTGTGCCTGCCCTGCCAGGGGATGGGTGGAGTGGAGCTCAGAAGGAAGGTCCCACAGGATGGTACCTGACACAATGATGGTGACCGGAGGGTATCTAACCTGTCCTCTTTGCCCTACAATCTAGAAATGGATTTTTCCACACTTCCCACCTCTTCCTAATGCCCGTCTCGAAGTTCCTGCTTTAACTGCAGCTCAGTGATGAGTAACTTTCACACAGGCCTGTGAAACCTGCTGTAGTTGCAGCGCCAAACACGCACTTGCATCTGTTTCCTTCGCTTGCTTGGTTTAGGGTGGTTTTGGTCTTTTTTCTACAGTTTTGAAGTAGGGATTTAGGTCGATTTGCCATCTTTCCTCTTTCATAGGTGTTTGTTTAGTGCTATCAGTTTCCCTCAGCACTGTTTGAGCGGCATACCGTTCATCTCGGTGTTTCGTTACCATTCAGTTCTGTGTAGCATTTAAAAACAAATTCTTTGCAGCTTCATGTTTGTCCTATATATTGTGGAAAAGCTAATGTTTAGAGACGCCTATTGCTGCTGGCTTCTAGTTTGGTCTACTGTGGTCAGGACTTAGACTTTATATGATTGCAGTTCTTTTAAGATTGGTTGAAGCTGCTTTCTTGGCCCAGGATATGGTCTTCCTTAGTCAGTGTTCCATGAACACTTGCAAACAATGGGTGTTGTGGTATTGTGGGCAGACTGTTCCCTATGTGTGTGTTGTTGGGTAATGAGATTGTTGAGTTCTTCTGTAGCAGTGCTGATTTGATCAGTTACCCCTGGGTAGTCCAAACGGTTCAGTACTTGGCTGCTAACTAAGAGGTCAGAGGTTCCAGTTCCCTCAGAGGTGCCCCGAAGAAAGGCCTAATGATCTATTTCTGCAAATCTGTGGAGCTCAGTTCCGTCCTGACACACATGGGGTCAACAAGGGTTGTAGTGGAC